AATATAAGCTCAATAAGCTCAATAACAGGGTGAGATTAGTAGCATGTAACAGCAGAGAGAGAAAAAAATAATAACATGCAGGTGAAGATGAATAAATGAAACATAAAAACCTTGACTACGTAATCCAATGAAATCCAACTCCCCTGAAAGCTCATGCAATTCCCAAGGACACCGGGTAATGTGGTTTATTACGGAGTCAGATTCATATGTGTGAAAGATTAGTATAAGTGCTTTATTAAATGGGACAGTGAATAACTAATTGGCAATACTGTCACTTGTTTAACATAAAGTGCATATTTTTTTGTGTAATCTCACTTAAGCATTGTCCCTATTATCAGGCTGAACATCTAGACAAGACTTGAACTCGCACATGCATTTGTCTTAGCAGCCGCAATACTGAAATATCACAATCAGGCCGCTCTACTTGTCCTGAAAAAAAAGGAAAGAAAGAAAGAAAGAAAGGTGGCGTAGGTTGTGTCCTCGTCCTTCCTTTGCATTCTTTCACTAAGAAATGTCCTATCCCTGTCCCGTTCCACTGACAAAACACGAACTTATCATTCTCCTCACTATCCTCTCCCTCTGCAGTTTATTCGTAAGCCCAGACCATCGCAATATACTCCCTCATTACGCCTGTACACCTGTCGATCTCATTTGACACTGACACTCAAGCTCTAATACAGCTATATATTATTTTTTTATTTTCCCCCTGCAGATTACATATTTCGCGTTCCTGCTGCACAAAACACGGTTAGCACAACCACACCTTCGTATAGACCATCTTTACCTTCATGCTTACATTCCCATATTTTGCTCAGAGCCTTCTTTGCCTTTCCTGCCCTATATCTTACTATGTCTTGCATTGCTTGCCAAACTGTCTTATGCACCTCATCACTTCAATTTTACTCACACTTACTTGCAATTTTTGACTCTTACTAGTCACTGTAACTTGGCTTCTGTGCCGCTAGCAACAAGGAAATGGTTTACCTTCTCTAGTAGTAGTAGTAGTAGTAGTAGTAGTAGTAGTAGTAGTAGTAGTAGTAGTAGTAGTAGTAGTAGCAAATTCTCTTTCTGAATCTTTCAATTACGTGCTTCACTACTCCGCCCATACAAACACTGACAGCAGTGGAAACATCATGCACCCTTATCTTCCAACCAAACATTCTCTTTATTCCTAATTATCACATACGACTTGCTATCCTCACAGAAACTTTTTACTGATCTTCCAAATTATATACAAAGTTCGAATCGGTCACAAGTTCTTTCTGTCTGCACGAACGCCAACACACGCGCTTCCTTTTCGCCCCGTACTTATAGTATTCCTGTCTTACGACGAATGCCTGATTTACGCAGCCACTTTCACTCTTAAACTCATACTGGGCATTCATATATAAAACTTTACCTACTACGCTCAACAAACTATACTACTGTTGGTACTGAATATCTATCGCCTTTTCTTCTGCACGCATAATGCATCCACTCCACGTACGAACATCTAGCAACCTAAGCAGCCACACACTACTGCAGTTTCTCCTTTTTCTTCAGACTAATAAATGCACCACTCACCCTTCTACTTTTGGCTCCACTGTCTTTTAAAGTACCCCTTGCTTCTTTTTAATCGTTCGTCTCGTCCTGCACCGGCATCCTCGCCTACCAATCCTCCATAATTAATTCAGCAGACGTTCTAAAGATCCTGTTTGTAACAGCCAAATACCTGTATTTCCATCTCTGTTTTTCCCTGCTTAACCTCCTTCCAAAGCATTTCAACATTTTCTCCTCAAAATACTCGTCCATGCGCCTACTTCACCTTTTATTTGCCTTTTGTTTTGCCTCCTTCACCTTTCACTTCGTTTCTCTTCTCCGTCTATTCATTACCGTCACTTACCCAGCTCTTGAAATCCCTTTCTTTCCATGAACCACTTTATCTCCCTACATTTTCTATCGTGCGTTTCCATTGTACACATCAACACACACTCCCTAAAGAACTCGCTTTCTTCCTCGCCTTCCTACTTCCCTTCTCTTACTCTCATCCACTCCGATTCCTTTCCTTTCTCTGCCATACATAACGCGCTCACTCTCGACATCTGTCTTTCAAGTCCTTATATTTCCCGTGCCACTCCCCATTTCGTTACTCTCCTGGTCTCTTTACTGCCACTTCTGCCAGCAACACACAGCAGAGCTACAACTCTTCCACAAGCCTCTTTCACACAGTTACATTTATGGATATCTTTCAGACGGAATTACCTTTATCTTACCACTAACTCCTACTTCATTCTTCATTGTCCACCTCCAATTCCACCAGGCTCCATAATGTTCTGAAGTACTCCATCTAACTCATTGTCTTCTACCCTAGTATTAAAATCTACTGTCGCTATAATACTAACATTTACAACAGTCCAATAATTTCCAAGTAGGAATTAGGTTTATATATCTTCTTCCACGTGAAGCGTTCGTTACTGTTTACATTTTCATCACAAACAAAAACATAAAAACCGGCAGCATTACCTCCACCTGACGCTCACAGGGTGACGGTGACGGTGGTAGTGTGTTTTAATACTGTAATATTAACTGTAATAATAATTATGATAATGATAATATTGAAAAAATAGTAGTAGTAGTAGTAGTAGTAATAGCAGCAGTAGCAGCAGCAGTAGTAATAATATAATAATAATAATAATAATAATAATAAATAATAACAGCAATAATAATACTAGTGCAAAAACGGGCGATTTGGACTTTACTAACTTTATTCTAGTTCATATAATTACTGACCAAAAACGAAATTATTGTCACATACATTGGTAGGTTATTACCTACATGGAATAAAAATTTAAAATAAAAATAATGACAACTTAAAGAGAAACATGCAGTGGAAGGTGAACCACATTATGCAAAAAATTGGGCGATTTGGTCCTTGCCTTGGGATGATCCTGCTTCTACTGGGGCGAATGTGGACCTGTAACAAATCTATAAAAATTCTTTGAATTAATTTGTCCTTTTTATACATTCATACATAAACACACACACACAATATCTGTATATATATATATGTCATACACTTAGTTATACATATACTGTACGTTAGAGTATAAATAACCTAATCATAGTAATGTGTACATGTAGTTACGTTTAAAAATAACACCCACATTGTACATAAATGATGAATGAACATGTAAAAAAAATGGTGTATACAAGATTCTAACCATTAAATCAGTGGATGTAAATAACACTGAGAGACTCGTGTACTAATGCTATTGCTAAATTAGCACATAGTACTTTGCTTTCCCATTAGTGTGTATAAAAACAGGGTTGTGGTGTATTACTCTTCTCTGAAGAGCACCTGCAATACCTTCTCACAGAAAAAAGAGATTGTTCTCATAACTTCTTATTTCTGCTAAACCTATAAGTCCTGGAATTCTCATACTGTTCAGTTAATTACAAAAATTCTGTATTTTGGGCAGCAGAGTATAATGCATAACCATGTTTCTTCTAGAACAAAATTCTGGGTAAAGGAGGAATTCTAAAGAAAATATTACAAATTTATTAGCACCATTAGTAACAAAAGCATATTATCATAAAAAATATGCAAATACATGATTCATCAATAGATATCCAATTCTATTTTCATCATAGAGTACCGAGGCTTTCAAATGTCTTACAAATGACTACATGAAAATTAATGAGCCAAAAGATGTGTGCTATAGGGTTGTACTTTTGGAAAATGTAGTACAAACATGCATCTGTCATACTATCAAGGTCACATTTCACAATATCTGGTAATAAACTTATATTTGTACAGATTATACCCTTTACATTTACTAATACAAAGTGGAGATATCATATAGCAAAACCAAAGCAGTGTCTCCTGCAGTCCTGGGCAAGAGTTTGTTTCTTGATCATATAATTAAATTTTTTAATTGTTGTTATTTGGGTTGAAAACAACAGAGATGAGTGGATATGAATGAAAAATGAACATTAATTGTTTTTGGGGGAGCTTTTTGTTTATGGGTTTTTATGTCAATATGATTTCTTTTTAGGAAACATCTGGGGATGCGGGGCTTATAGGCCAATTTATATGTGAAAAATAAAGTACACTAATAAACCAAAAGCCTGCCTTACATCACCACCTAAGGAAGTAAACTTTGGCTCCTGGTGTTTCTACCTGAATACACCTGAAGTATGTTGACCAACAAAATATAAAAACATCCCCATAAGTAGTAATATACTTTTGAATATCTGATGATAGTCTGATCATTTTAAGTTGCTCCTCTGACTTTGGGATACAATTTTCATGAAATCAAATTTCTTTCAAGTATAATTAAAATTTACATACATAAATAAATAAACCAATGTAATAACAATATAGACAGGCCTACATTTTATTTATATTCCCAAGTATATAATAAATAAATTCCTGAGAAGTCTAATTACAGTTCCTGATTATCTGAAGTCAGTGACTGCATTTCAGTAATGTAGCAGTTAATATTATGAAGGTTAGAAACTATTTAACCTGTTGATGCTAAGAGTGCATGTACATACATGCTACATCTATTATGATTTCAGTTTATTAATTCTGTTTACACAAGTGCTTAGTCACCAAGCAGTCAATTACTGGTCTTTCAAGATCTCACTGAAAGACCAGTTTCCTTGACTTTGGAAAGACTCATTTTTAACTTTTACTGCAATTAGTATTGTTAATAACAAAATAATCATACTGTCAACAACAATAATAATAACAGTAATAATAATAACAATAACAGTAATAACAGTAATCTGATAGCAGAGTAAAAAACAAACAAACTTTTCTTGAGAATTCTAAGACCAGGGTAATTAGGTGAAGTCAGGGAGAGCTACTAACTGACTGCTTGGAGATTAAGTGCTTGTGAAGCCATCTATGTGTAAACAAAATTTCAAAACAAAACTATGGTGGCCACTACATGTACCCAATGTTAATGGTTGATAAGAAAGAAAGAAAGGAAGAAAGAAAGAAAGAAAGAAAGAAAGAAAGAAAGAAAGAAAGGGAAAAAAAAAAAAAAAAAAAAAAAACACTAAAAAAAGGTATAAAAAACTATCTATATACTTTTTTTCTGACATTTCTATGCATCTGTCTCTTCACTTCAGTGCTACATTCCAACACAATTATCCAACCGTTTTTATTTACTAAAGAAATGTAGACTCCTGTCTCCTATGCACCAAATACATTTTGGTAAAGTACTAATAAGAAAATACATAGACATAATATTCTTTGCTGGTACTTAACCAATTGTGAATAACTGCTGTTCTACAACCTGTGTTTAGTTTATATCACAGAAGTAGATTTTTATCAGAATAAATAAATTTCCACAAAGAACTCAGTGCTGAAAACACCAAGTAAGTTTCTGATGTAATATCTCCATCATCAAAAACAACTTTGCTTAATAGCACCAAATTAAAACAACCAAAAAATTTAAATAAGCACCCTTTCTTCCACAACTGATGAAGCCCTAAATTATGAGGCCCTAGATATCATTTAACTTGCATCAGGTTCTTTATTTCCTTTTCTTCTTAAAGATATCTGTCCCATCACTCTCCTCCTTCCTGTAAACACAGTTGCCTTGTCTGTCAAAACAGTGCTTCAGTGTTTCTTGCGCTTCAAAGTATAACTTACATGGATGTTGAACATACTTGTCAACATGCTCTATAAAGTGAATCAGAGTTGTCATATTTTCTTCAGAATTGAGCCCTTCAATAATGCTATCATATGCTTTCTGACACTCATTAGCAGCAGTTTTGGTCTGCTCATCGATTTCCTTATAATCATACATCAACATATTCCCATTACTATCACTGCTTTCTTTGTTGGAATACTTGGTATTGCACCTTTTGCATACACCCTTGCTGAGACTTAGAGGCACTGAGCATTTTAGGCATCGTAGAGCAAGACTTGGTGACAGAGATGGGTACGTTGGCCAACTATTTACACAAGCTTCACATGTACAGGTAAAACAGTACTGTTGCAACAATTCTGCTCTTCTTGCCTCACAAGGCCTTATGCCATAGTGTTCCCCATAACTGTCTGTCACTTCTGCTCCTTGCGGAATGAATCTTATTGCCCTAAGCACTACCACATTTCCATAACTGGAACGTGCAGCTGCAGGATTGCATGAATGATTTGTCAAACTCAGCACACCAAATGCTCCTGACCCAATTTCCTGTGTTGTACTTTCCTGGAACCTGCTCACATTTACCTGAAAAATAAAAATGAAAACATAACAGGTAAATTTACCTCTCAGGTAGTATGCTTTTACTTTCCATGTGCAAAAATCTAATAACCAAAGAATGCTCTCCTCATGAATACTATAAGACTCAAGCGTAATTTGACCAAAATCAAAACAGTATTCATAAAAGATATCAAGGTCATAAAAGGAGAACACACAAAGGGGTATTATTAAGCATTTGAAATTTGATGGACACAATTCTTGGTAAGCAAGAATTCTTTCTGTGGCAAAATTAAATGTACCATTACCTCAAGCTCGGTGACAGAATGGGCATTGCAAGGCAGATTCATCATGTGGATGAAGAGAGTACATCCTGTCAGAAGAATATCCTCCTGGGTGGGCATTATAGGCTTTCCATCTTCATCTACAAAGTGGCTCTTACTTTCTATCATGAGCTTTGTCAGGGTCAGAGCCATTGCACATCGTTTGAACAAGTCACTCACTGAGCG